TGATCCTCTGGGGCACAGGGTGTGACCCTTGGGGATGGGTCTGTGCAGGGCCAGGAGCTGGACTGGATGATCCTTGTGGGTCCCTCCCAGCTCAGCAGATTCTGTGATTCTGTGATCACTGCCCTCAGGAAGGTACCAGGACCCACAGCAGGGCAGAGCCCCATTCCCTGGGCACAACGAGCCCCTCAGAGGAGGAAGAAGAAGCAAAGAAGCAGGAGCCAGGTGAAAATGCTCTTCACCCAGGCTGTGCACATAAAACAGAGGCTGTAACTGCAAACAAGGGCCATCTAAAACAGCCCCAGGATGCTCTGGTTTGTCCCTGGCTCATGCAGCTGATGCTGCAGTGAGTTGCTGTGACCACACAAGCACATTTTAGCCCAGCAGGCCCCTGGCATCAGCAGGATGAGTGATGGCATGGCCAGGAGTGATGGCATGGTTTGAACACGGTGCCAGCCCATGTTTTCTGAGCTCTGCCAGGTCTATCAGCTGATGTCAGGTGAGTCACTGTGTAACTCTGGCCCTCAGCCTCCCCATTTGTAAAGGGCAAGGAAGGAGCTGGTCTGTCCACAAAGGCACCTCACAGCCTGTTTGAGAAACCACCACTTCTTTTTCTCTCCATCATTGTTTCAAAAGGGGTTTTCACCTTACTAAAGTGTTTCAGCTTCTCAGCAGAGCAAACAAGGAAAAAATTACCCCCAGTTTCCTTGATGCTGCATGAAAGAATTGCACAGTGGTTATATGAGGACTATATGATCAATATAAGCTACTGTATAATGCAGAAAGACTATTGGCAATCAAAGGAAAAGCAAAGCAGGCTATTTTTTGTTAAATGGGTGTGTCTGGGTCCTTGTTAAAGTTGCTCAGGGCTTGCAATAAAGTGCAATGTTCAGATATAATGGTTATAAAGCAGTGTTAATATGTGCTGGGGGGAGTTTCATGCAAGTGAGCTCTGTAGCTCATAAAAATGACACTGGGGTGTATTTTACCATCCCAGCAAGAAAGGCTTGTAAAGCAGCTGTGCTGGAAAGTAAATAAAATAGAAATGACTCATAGAGAGGAACAGTTTCCCCACCGTGGAGACTTTGGGCACTGTATCACTTTTTATATTATGCTGTATTAAGACAATTGCTTTGATCTCAGCAATAAAGGAAGTTGGCTCAGCTCCTTTAGTCTTACTTAACCAAACCAAGATCTTCTGCAACAACTTCAGTGGGAGTGCTCAGAAATAACTGAAATTATCTTCTGCAATAACTGTGGTGGGAGCGCTCAGAAAGAATCCCCCCAAAAAACCAGGCGCTGGCTGGGCCCTCTCCAGCCTTGTGTTCCCTCCATGGCCAGCCACACCCAGGACTGCTTCTGGGGCTTTGTCCTCTCTCACCACCAGACTCTACTGGCCACAAGAGCGAGGTGAGGAGGTCTCTGGCCTTACCTGCTTTGAAGATCCACTCCAGGTACCCGTTGAGCTCCCGCTCGATCTGCTGCTGCCGGCGGAGCTTCAGGAAAGCTCGGCGGTTCTCCACCCGCTCCCGTTCTTTGGCAAATTCACTGCGGAGAGGCAAGAGGGAGGAAAGCACCTGTCACCAGAGGTCATGGAAAACACACAGCCCTCCTTCAGCCCCTCAGGTTGTGTTCATGAAGCTTGTGAAGTCGACAGCAGTGAGTGGAAACCACAGCAAGCGACAGCCAACAAAGTACGACTTGGCTGGAGCTAAACCGAGTTTGTTTCTCTGCCTCTCTCACCCTGAAAGAACCTGAAAGATTGTTTCTCTGCCTCTCACATCACGAAAGAACCTGCAAACTGCCCTGTGCACACGTTTCTTGTGCCCCGTGGCCATACCACAGCCATTGCAAGGAGATCCTGGTGCACAGCCAGTCACGCAACACCAATTATTATCCTCAGCGCTAAAATCCGTCTCCCTCAGCAGCAGAATTTCCCCTGGAAGCACAAGATTAAGTCACAGAGATATCAGCACTCCTGTGAAGAGATCTGCTCTTCCATGACAGCCTTTCATTTTTCCCAGGCTTAAGATATCTGTGAGAAACAGGAGCTGCAAGTGAGGCTGGGTGCTCTGGGGTCGAGGTGAAGCAGCTCAGATTCTCTATGTTGAGGGTAAAAATGATCCTGCTATTTGCTAAAATCACATGGAAAGCAAGTATCTGGTATCAAATTATTAGCACAGGGCTGTACAGGGAATTCAGAAAGGAAGGTTCATCCAACCATTGCAATAATCACGTCCAAGTACATCCTGCTGCCCAGCTTGAAATGATGCTGAGACAAAAGCACAGCCACCAGCCAAGATAACTCACTCTGGGGCTTTCCCCAGGCTAATTCCTGTCACCTCTGGGAAGTTTCTGATGCCCCAAGTGAAGATGTACGTGCCCATCTGCCATTTATAGAGCTCTGAGCCAGCCTCTGCAGTCCCTCCCTTTGGGCACACACTGGAGTGACTCTCACAGAGGCTTCACCTCTCTGGGTAAAATGGGATCAGGATTCTGTCCCTCAGGTACTCCAGAACCTCATTCATTCGATGATGAGTCCTTGATGTTGTCAGTTAACTTTTAATTGTTGTAAACTTGTAGTTAACCACAGATTTTGACTAAAATCTCATGTAATCAACACACAAATGTTCTCAGAAGCCAGCAAGGAGCAGGAGATGGGAGGAAGGACTGGGGGAAAAAGGAGCTCCAAATGCCAGACACAGCTTTACATTCCCAGTCTACACTTTGTCCTCCAGAGGTGACACTTTTGCTTCGTTTGGCAGCACTGTCTGACCCGGGAGAAGGGACTGGGAGGAGAACTTGGCTCAGCACCGACCACACGGCAGAGCCACTGATGGGAGAGCTGCCATCAGCTGAGCCCTTGTCTCGATGTTGGCAGCACATCCCAGTCTCCTGACTCCCCTTTCCTGTCCCCCACCTGACAGGACAGCCCATGACCCCATCCTTGGAACAGAGGAAGTGAAAACACGGCTCTGAACCGGCAGCTCCTCCTTGGCATTCAGCACATCCCTGCCAGGCCGTTCGGGACCCTGCACGTGTCAGCCTGGGCACTCTTCTCCACCTCCCTTTCTGATGTTCTCATTTCTGGTTCAGTGCCTGCTGGTTGGGGCCGTGGACCTTCTCTGAGTGTTGATTTCCCCCTGGAGCAGCAGGAAGGAGATCAGACAGCACGAGGTGACAACATGCATTTGAATTTCCAGGCGTGGAGGGGCCACGTTTAATGTGTTACAGGCTCACGTCACCACAAACTTCCCAGAGGAGGAGGCAACACCTGGTAGGAAGTTTCCTGGAGGACCCCCATGGGCAGGAAGGACAGCAGATGAGCCATGGCACTGCTCCCTCACCCCTCAGGAGCAGGGAAAGAAGAGCTTCCCTTGCAAAGCTTTTCATCCTCTGCCAGCTCCGATCCTGCCTAAGGAAAGTAAAACTGCCCAGGACTAGTCCCTTTAATCACAACTTTATGTTTCAGAATCACAGAATATCCTGAGTTGGAAGGGACCCACAAGGATCATTGAGTCCAACCCTCAAGTGAATGGCCTGTACCTTAAATGTGTGGGAAGGTGAGGGAGGAACTGGGAGAAGCTGAAAACCTTCAGCAGTTTCTGTACAGACACACACATGTCTCACAAGCCACCAGTGGGGAACTGCCCCCTCCTGCTCCCTGGAACTGGCAGGTTTGGCAGAATCACAGAATTATTTTGGTTGGAAGTGACCTTAAGGATCATCTTGTTCCACCCCCTGCCATGGACAGGGAGACTTTCCACGATCCCAGGTTTTTTCGAGCCCCGTCCAACCTGGCCTTGGACATTTCCAGGGATCCAGGGGCAGCCACAGCTTCTCTGGGCAACCTGTGCCAGGGCCTCCCCACCCTCAGAAGGAAGAATTCCTTCCCAATATCCCATCTAACCCTGCCCTCTGGTAGTGGGAAGCCATTCCCTCTTGTCCTGTCACTCCAGCATTTGTAGTTTCTCTCCATCTTTCTTTTAGGCTCCCTTTAGGCACTAAAAGGCCATAGTTGGGTCATCCCAAAGCTTCTCTTCTCCAGGCTGAACAATCCCAGCTCTCCCAGCCTTTCCTCCCAGCAGAGCTGCTCCAACCCTCTGATCCTCTTGGTGCCTCCTCTGGACTCTCTCCAGCAGCTCCATGTCCTCTCTGTGCTGTTCCCAGGGCTGGAGCAGCTCTGCAGGGGGGTCTCACCTGAGGGGCAGAGGGGCAGAATCCCCCCTGTCCTGCTGCCCACACTGGGGGATCAGCCCAGGGCACGGGGGGTTCTGGGCTGGGCCATGTCCAACCTCTCCCCCACCAGCACCCCCAGGGCCTTCTCCCAGGGCTGCTCCATCTGCTCATCCCCAGCCTGGACTGATCCAGGGGCTGCCCCAACCTGGTGCAGCACCTTGAGCTTGGCCTTGTTAAACCCCATGAGATTCCCATGGGCCACTGCTTGAGCTGGTCCAGGTCTTTGTCCAGGCATTGGAGCTTCTCCAGGAATTGCTGTGGAAGCTGGGAAGGTAATTTCCAGGAGAAGACAATACCCTGAGTCCCTGCTCACTGAATTCCTTCTGAGGGTACAGAGCTGTAGCAAAATCATCCAGGTTGAAGGCTGGAGGGTCTTTATGTAGGGTCTTCCTGGCAAAAGGATGCACCACTTCTTCCTTCTCCTGTCTCCAGGAGATGGGAGAGAAGTTTGGTGAAGCCGGAACTTGTTAGAAACTTGTTTTCTATATGAAATGTATTAATAAAAATGTATGTGTCTTCCCCTACATTCATCACCATTCAGGAGCTGAAATAGTCCCTCTTTGCTCCCAGATTTTCCATTTGAGAGCTCTTCAACAAAATTCCAGAACACATTCAAAGGAAGGGGAGAGGAGGGGGAGGGGAATTATATCAAAATGCCATATTTAATCTGAAAGTATTTCAACTGAAATTTTCCTGCCAGCTGAAAATGAAAACACAGAAAGTCCCCTGGGAATGTTTGGGAGCAGTAAATAAGTTCCCTCTTCTATTCAGCGTAATTCCTATTTATGTCACTGACTTGTAAAAATCTCCCAAATCACCAGAAAGGAATCCTGAGCAGAAATATGGAGGAATTTCTTCATAGCTGGTCTTCCATCCTCTGGCCAGCCCTGGAATGTGTTTATTGTGAGGGAGGGGAGGCCCTGGCACAGGTTGCCCAGAGAAGCTGTGGCTGCCCCATCCCTGGAGGTGTCCAAGGCCGGGTTGGAGCAACCTGGGCTAGTGGAAGGTGTCCCTGCCCATGGCAGGGGGTGGAACGAGATGAGCTTTAAAGTCCCTCCCAACCCAAACCATTCCATGATTTTATGGTTCACCCACTCTCATCCCTGGCTCTCATCATCCAAAAAGCCCCAAAAGCCCTCGAATTGTTCATCTTCCAGCGTGTCCAGCCGGGCACAAAGAGCTGAAAGGTCAGTGCTCCTGCCCAGCACAGCAGCATGAGGTGCTGGGGGGTGACTGTGCTGCCTTCCAGCTCCTCTGTGACAGTATCTGTCAGGGAACAAGCAGGATCCAAAGGCAGGACATCCATCCTGGAAACCACACGGCAGCCAGCGGAGCTCAGTGTGTCACATTTGTCTTCTCGAGAGGGGTCGGTGCTTAATGTCACGGGGAAATGGATGGTTGTTGCTTATCACCCTGGTGGGTGGAGGAGGAAAATAAATCTCAGTGTAAATATGCACTGAAAGAGCCACTTCAGGGCAATTCAAGAGCCCCCCAAGCCACAGAAGAGGCACAGTCAGCTCTCGAGTAACCACCGGGGTCAGTGAACATTATGAACTAATGAAATTCTTACAAGTCCTTTATCCACGATGGTCTCAAAACAAAAATATTGTCACAGCAACCAAAGAGGGATTAAAAAAATAAACAAACGCCAATCTTCATCCCCGGAGTCTCTGATTAACCTCCCTACACGACAGCAGAGAGCTGGGATGGAGCATCTCCTGGTCCTGGCTTTGGTGGCACAGGCGTCAGCAGCTTCCTGCGAGTCTAATCACATCATTAAACCTCTGCCAGTCGGGTTTTCCGCTTCGAAAGCAGACAAACTGCTTCCCGCTGCCGGGGAAGAGGCCGGGAGAGATGATACAGCATCGCTGTCACAGCTCCCGCTAATCGTGCTGGTGATTAGCGACTCGGAATAACGACACAGGTAATTAGCTCCTCGTTCCCAATAATCACACGGTCTTGCGAGCTCATGAAATCTCAGGTCTTAAAAGGTGAGAAGAGCCTTCAGCCGCTGAATCTGAAGGTTCGGAGTGAACAGAAAGCTGCACGGATCTTGGAAGGGCTCTGCCAGTGACTCCTGGAAAGCAGCTGTCGAGAAGTTTTAGAATTTTAAGTCTTAAAAATAAATTGAGGGGGGGAAAAAAATCGGTTTTAGATCTCAGGTCTTCGCCAGCAGCTCCTGGAAAGCAGCTGTGGAGAACTTTCCGAATTTTAAGTCTTCAAAATATAAATAAAGCAATCAGTTTTAGGGTTGGCTTCGTCTCCAGTCCAAGCACATCAAAGGAAGGCACGAAGCTGAGCCCGGGCGA